CCAAAAAAAAAAAAAAAAAAAACAAAGAAAGAAAGAAATGGCTCATCATGACAAGTGATTCTCTATAAGATTGACCTGATTTCTCATCAAAAAACCATGAAAACCAAAAAGCAATGGAATGATATATTAAACGTGCCAAAAGTAAAACTGTCGACTAAGAACTAGATGCCTAGAAAATTGGTCCTTCAAAAATGAAGGATAAATAAAGATATTTCCAGATAAACAAAAGCTAAAAAAGTCTTAGGTTACTATGCTATTCACAAGAAATGTGAAAGGGATTTCTTCAGGCTGAAAGAAAAGGACACTAGATGGTAACTTGAAATAAAATAAAGAAATAATGATCTCTGATAATGGTAACTACATATATAAAAACTAGTATTATTATATCTTTGACTTATAGCTTCTCTTTCTGTTTCTTTTGAACTTTGAAAGATAATAAAACCGCAATTATAAAAGCAAGGACCATGAACACACTGGAAAAAGATGTAACTTGTGGGCCACCAGGTGGCATGGTGGTTAAAGCACTGGATCCCACATGTCCAACTCAATGGTTCAACTCAAACCCAGCAGTTTGAAAAACATGCCAGGTATGTGTGTGTGCATGCCCAAAATCCTGAGAGGAGGATGAAGAAGGGATTGCAGTGTGGCCATTCCCCTGGGGAGTGAATCATGTCAATAACAACATAGAGAAGATGGAGCTGTGTAGGAGCAGAGTAATGTATGCTATTGAAGTTAAATTGGTATCAATTCAAGTTATATTTATATAAATTCAAGATGTTAACTATCATCCCCATAGCAACCATTAAGAAGCAACTTAAAAATATACAGAAAATGGAATAAAGAGAAATCAAATAAAACACTATGAAAAAAATAAACACAAAAAAGAAAGCATATGATAAATCTTTATGACCTCTGATTGGCAATGGATTCTTAGATTAACACCCAAAGCACAAACAACAAAAGATAAAATAAATTGGACTTCATAAAAAAATAAAAATTATTGCATGTTAAATGACAGTAGCAAGAAAACCTTCAGAGCAGGAGAAAATGTTTACATATTGGATAAGGGTTTAGGATTCAGAATATATAAAGAACTTGTACAACTCAACAACAAAAAGACAAATCGTTGTTCAAATGCTCAAAAGACTTGAGTTGACATTTTTCCAAAGTAGATATGCAAATTACCAGCAAGCACATGAAAAGGTGGTTAAATTGACTAATCATTAAGGAAATGTAAATCAAAAAACCACAGTGACATATCCCTTCACACTCATTAAGATAAATATAATAATAATAAATATCATGTGTTGGCAAGGATGTGGAGAAATAGGAATCCTCATACACTGCTGAGGTTAGCATAAAACAGTGGTAAGGGATCAGTCAGTGGCATGGTGGTTAAGATTGCTAGATCCCACATGGACACCTGTGCAATTGAAGTCCCAGAACCGGTGGCTTGATAAGTCACATCAGGCAAAAATCTGAAGAGGAAAATGGAGAAGAGATTGTGGTGTAACCGTCCCCCATAGGGAATCCATTCTCGCTTTTCTCGCTTTTCCTTCTCTCTTAGTCTACAGTGAGCATACACACTCTCCAGCTATTTTCTTTTAAATGATAGTATAAGAAAAGGATTGTCAATTCAAAAAGACAAACATACAACTACTGTATGACCCAGAAATTCCATTCTTAGGTATATATTCAAGAGAAATGAAAATATGTTGTTCACAAAGAAATTTCATTTTTAAAAGCATGGGGAAATGCTTAAATCATAGGGTGAACTGAGAATAAAAGGAAATCGCATTAGACATACAGTATGATTCCAGGTATCTAGAATGCACTAGTTATGATTCCTCTTCTTCTCTAAAATATTTTTAATGAATATGCATTATTACAGTAATCAGAAAGCTTATTTTTATTTTTTAAGAATTATTTAATTTATTATTATTTTTTAAAGAATTATTTAACTTTATTTATTTATTTATTCATTCATTCTTTCATTTATTTTAATTTGACCAGAGAGAGACACAGGGAGGGAGAGATGAGAAAGGAAGCCGCCATCTCCGGAACTTGAACTGTGGTCAGCTATGTGGGAGTCCAGTGCCCTTAACCACCATGCCACCTGCTGGCCCCAAATTTTTATTATTTTTTAACTTGCTATAGTCACCCGAGAGAGATGTGGTCAGCCATGCGGGAATCTAACAACCTAACCAACGCGCCACCTGCTAGGCCCAATCATTTTACTTTTTTTTAAATGTCTACTAATGAGGAAGGAAAAAAAAAAAGGTAGAGATTTGGTAATTGGAGTTGGTTGGCTATTGACAAAAATTATGTTAACACTGAAACTATGTATTTAGAAACATAAGAAATGGTAAAATAAAGAAAATATAAAGCTAGAAATGTGTCACCAGAACTCAACCACTTAGAGATACTTAGTTGTTCTTGTAACAGAATTAGGCCTAGACTGTTTAAAAGCAATAACTTGTCGTTTCCATTATGGTGAGAATACCAGCAGTTTATTTAGAACATATTTACTGTGAGCCTCTCATGTGCTGGCTCTGAAGCTTCTAAGGTGTGGCTCTCTGGGCAAAAGGCAGAGAACACTAAAAAAACAATTACAGACTTTGACTGCCTGTCATGCCTTTTCACTTCCCATGTACCAACAATTCAGTAATCTAGTCATCATTTGGGGAACCTGCTCTTTCCCACTCTTAATTCAAGTGCTAGGGTGGACTATTCAGAAACGTAGGAATGACCAAGGCTTAAGTCAATTAGTGGATTCAACTACTAGGGCCACCGTGATTCATTCATTTCAGCTAATAAAAATCAAATATAGGACTTTTTGTTAAAACGTTGAGAAGAGTGGTGGACTCTATTGAACTGAGCATTTATAACTAAATGAAAGATTTCAAAACTCCTCAGTAAGGAAGCTGTAATGATGAAAGCTTTGCTGGACGGGTTTGGGAGGTGGCTGTCACACTGTGTCATACCTTTTGCATCACTCCACCATGGTCCTTCTCTGACTGTACTCCACTCACTGGTAGTTCTGTATCTTCCATCAAATGGTCAGATCCTTAAGGAAAGGAGACACATCGCCAACAGACTTGGGCCTAGCATAAGAGAAGGGCCTAAACACGCACCTATAGAAGAAATTGTCCTGATGGGCTCTGCACAATGGCAATGAAGGCACTGATGCTTCTATCACTGCAGCTCAGGTTTCTTGGGCAGTAGGACCTCTACTGGCTGATACCACATCTAACAGTCCTCACCTTGTACCCTTGGGTCTTCCTTCTGAGCTGCAGTGGGTGATAGGCTGAGTCATCAACTGTGGGTACTAGTGTGGTTACTGCATGATCCTCACACAACTACCCAGAAGACGTCATTGGACAGAGGCAGTGGGGGTAGGAAGCATCCACAGACAGCATACTATGATGAAGCATCATAAAAGCAGTGGGGAACACAAGGTCGCTGGGCCCACCCACCTCCTTCATCTCCGAGAAGCTAAAAGCACAAGGAGGAAACACGAGCAGCTCCAGCCTGGGCAGCCTTCCTGGGAAGATGCAGCAGAGGCATCTGTTCTTGTTGGTCTTCTTCCTGTCCCCCACAGCAGAGGCAGGTGAGTGACCATCCCCATACTCAGAAGCCCAGGTCCCCCACGGCAGAGGTAGGTGAGTGACCATCTCCATACTCAGAGACCCAGGTCCATCCCACAGTTGGAAAAGATCTCCTGCCCCTTCTATATATGACTTTGCTCCTTCTAATGTTCTGAACCCCAGCCAGTTCCACTGCAGACCCCCAGGTATTATGTTGGATAAGCTCTCAGTGGAATAGCAGGACAGAGGCTATTCTCAAGAAGAGTCATTGGTTACCATCTCCTCACTGAGCCCTATTCATGTGATCTGGAAAGTAGGAACTTCTACAGGTGCCAGGCTGAGAGTGTAAAACAAGAGAAAATACTAAATTATTTTGGAGAGGGCAGAGTTCATCTGGCCTCCATGACTGGGACAAGACAGGTGCTCCCCCTCATATCTGCTTCAGAGGGACGCCTGGAAATCAGCTGACCCCCAAAATCGGTGGAATCATTGTTCTCAGAACACTGTTTTCCCCTTTGCTCTGTTCCTGGGCACTCAGTCCTTTGGCCCACTCAGTCTTTTGGCCAACTCTGCTCTTCTTCCTAGGCCTTTGCTAGCTCCCCTCTTTTCAAGGATGACCCAATGGGTCAAACTCCAACTTCTCTGCTTTCCAGAATCTCCCCAACACTACCCTATAGCTCTCATCCAGAGGCTACTGGAGCCACTCCTTTGTGCAGACAATGGATGCATATTGGGCACCCACTACATGTCAGGCCCTAGGAAACAGAATAGGATATGATGCTATCTGGCTCCCTAACTTAAGTCTTGGCCATTAGAAATCACACTATCCCAGGCATCACAGGACTCGTAGGATCTTAGTAACTCATTTGAAACAAAAGTCAGGAGAACAGTTATCCAGAGTCTCTGGGATTTTGCTATCCCTAAGACAGGTATGCTCACTTCCAACTATGTGGAGAAGGAAGATTTCTAGCCCAAAGCCTGCTGTTCTTCCCTTTTTCAGAGAAGGAGACTGAGGCTCTTCCCCCAGGCTCCTCTCAACTCTGGGCCATCTCAGGCTCCCAAGTGCCCAGCACTTCTGGAGGCATCACACACATGCCCACTGTGGACTAAGTGAGTGCACACAGGCAAACAGACTTTCTCTACAGGAGAGATCATCGGGGGACATGAGGCCAAACCCCATTCTCGCCCCTACATGGCCTATCTTCACATCATGCATCAGACAACTGAGTTTAGGTGCGGTGGTTTCCTGATACGAGAGGACTTCATCCTGACAGCTGCTCACTGTTTCGGAAGGTGAGGAGCAAGGAATGGCGTACACTGTCCTGGAATCCCTCTCAGAGATGCCTTCCTTCTTCCCATGGAGTTCCCTTGGTCCCTTAGTGTGAGGAAGAGGGCAAGTGAGTCCAGTGAGCATAGAGGCAGATGAATACTAAAGGCACTGCTGAAGTAGGAACAACTAGAGTGATCAAGCTTGCCATAATTAAAACTGGGTTATTCTCTGGCATAAGAATGCAAACTAAAGCCATTTCTTGTGTTTGCTCTGGGAGTATCTGACCCCCGAGAACCACTGGTGCAATTACCAATGGCTCCGTTCTTCCACATCTACTGCTGAGAGGCAGAGGGCCCAGAGAGCACAGACCCAAGATCCTGCAGCCCTGCTCTACTCCACCTGTCACCTGCTCTTCAAGGCTTCTGGGCTGTGCCTCCTGAGTCCTCATCCCATCCCCACTCTACTCCACGCAGCTCAATAAATGTCACCTTGGGAGCACACAATATCAAGGAGAAAGAGAAGATGCAGCAGCTCATCCCTGTGAAAAAGGCCATCCCCCATCCGGACTATAACCCTAAGAATTTCAACAATGACATCATGTTACTGCAGGTAACTTCCCTGCTGCTCTCGCTTTGCTTGGTCTAATGTTTGACCCTCCTTCTAGAGTCCTACCCCCTCTCTTTTCTGCATCCTGGATGCTAGGCCAGATGTGGCGCCTCAAGGAGGGGACGCATAACAGCATGTAGGCACAGGTGGACATTTTCTGAGCTGGACTCTCTTGCTTCTCACCCATCAGCTGAAAAGAAAGGCCAAGCAGACTGCAGCTGTGAAGCTCCTCAGGTTACCTAGGGCCAAAGCCCGGGTGAAGCCAGGGCAGGTGTGCAGTGTGGCTGGCTGGGGCCGGATGGCTCCAATTGGAAAATATCCAGATACGCTGCAGGAGGTGGAGCTGGAAGTGCAACAGGATCAAGAGTGTGAAGACCACTTGGCCAATTATTACAACAACAACACCGAGATATGCGTGGGGGACCCGTCAACGAAACGGGCTTCCTTTAAGGTGAGATGGTGTACATCTGCCTGCTTTGGCTCTGGGGAAAGGGATGTTTGGGAAAGATTTGGGTCCTGAAGAGCCAGGCAGTAGGATCTCCTTCACCCTAGGCTATGGTCTTTCTCTTGGGAGAAGAGAACAGCCAGAGTGGAGGGTAACGAGACTTCTACCAGCTCAGTGAGGGGTCTATGGTGAATGGTGCTCTTCTGGAAGGATGAATTTAGAACACTCAATATTTTGTCCTTCACTAGGTGAAAAGTATTAAGCAACTATACTCTTTGGAGATGTAGTAATCATTACCAGGTGGTTGCTCGGGGCTGACACCCACCTTGATCAATGGGCCTGTCCTCCATGCTGGGTGTCAGTCACGCTCACCTGCCTTCATGTCTTTAAACAGTGCCTGGAACCACTGATCTCACACAGACTCTTAAAGGGAAAGTGTCCCAAGATTTGAGAGAAGGGAAAGAAGCTGGTCCTGGGGGCGGGGTGGGGTGAAATAGTAACAATGTGCAGGGTCCAGCCTTGGCAGCAGAGTGGGCCCCAGGTGCTGGCCTGCCCTTTGCTCTCCCATGGCAAGCTGTGTAAGTCAGCCTTCTCCAAGATGGTACAGAAGACAGACCCAGCAGGAACGCCGGCTCAGCCTTCCCTCTCTCTATCCACAGGGGGACTCTGGAGGGCCCCTTGTGTGTAAGAATGTGGCCCAGGGCATTGTCTCGTATGGGCGAAATAATGGCAACCCTCCACGAGTCTGCACCAAAGTCTCAAGGTTCCTGCACTGGATAAAGAAAACCATGAAGAGCCTCAACTAGACTAAGTCCCCTTTGGACTAAGATTTTTCTTTGGAGCTGAGTCCCAGACTGCACAAGGGGAGGTGCCAGCAACAGAATAAATGTGTTTTAGCTGAATGGAAGACTGGTTTCTTGTTCATTCTTTGACCTCATTCATAGGCACTAACTCTGTGCTATACAGGCCAATGACACATTTCCACAATTTTCTTCTTTCTCCTCTTCCTTCTCCACTCACCACCTTCTTAGAGGATCCATGCAAAACTTTTACCTAGTTTCCACAAACTTGGATCTTTCCAGGGCCTGCCTTTCTGCCATGGCTGAAGCTGAACACCATTAGGAGAAAATGTGAACCACTCAGGGTCCTGGGGAAAGACTTTGAGGTGAACATCTTACCTCCTTCTCTAGTATTATATGGCAGAGAAGGAGATGATAGCACCATGTACCATGTATGCCAAGAAGATAGAACCTGGTCATTGCTCACGGACAGTTGTACCCTACTGGGGTCAGAGGCTGGGATCTAAGTGAACAACACATTTCTCTCCCTCAGCCAGAGAAATTGGCAGCTGATTTGGGGGAGAGGAAGAGGTTGAGTCATTCCTCATTCTCGGTGGGTCTAGTGTTCCTCTCTAACAGTCCCTGCCCTCTCCTGAGTTCAGGGCCCAGCTCAACTTCCAGCCTCCTACTGTCCCTTCTTCTCTATTTTCTACTGTGAGTTTTAGAGTCCACCACCTTCTGTCACCTCCATACCAGATGGATCTGAGCTGGCCCTGCATTATGTGATCCATCAGGCTTCACCACCAGGATGCAAGCCTTGATCATTAAGCAGAGAGAGGCCACAGAGGGACCTGGCCCGTGCTTGCAAAAAGCAAGTTTCCATGGAAGACAGTGCTGACAAAGTCTTCCCAAAATGCTTGGTTCCATTTCTCACCTGGAAGAACCAGCTAACCCCTCTCATCCAGCCCAGTGGCCTCCAATATGCTCAGTGTCAAGGGTTTGTTGGATAAAACCAGAGCTGTGTGGGATACCACAGGCCATTTGGCAGCCTGAGCCCCCTTCAGTCCATCTCTCTTGGTCATACTCACCTCTAGGCTAAGGCTCCCTACTGGCCACCCGAGAATACATCAGCTCCTCTCTGCAGTGCAGTGAAAAGCACAATTTCTTTTTTTTTTAAATTTTTTAAATTTTTATTATCATCATAATCTTGTTTATATTACATTGGATTACATATAACTTTACAGTGTATTACATTACTTTTTCAAAAGGGAATGCCTTGCATGTCAGTCAATACAGAGACATTAATCTCCCCGCTTCAACATTCAATATCTTTTCTTTTGCTTTTTCCCCCCATCCTTGGTTCCCTCTCTTACCCTCTGCCACCTCCTGTTCTCCTCCCACACTGTCTCTGGTATCTATGTTTGTTTTCTATACCGTTTTCCCCTCACATTTTATTGAATCACCAAAGACCCTAATCAATCCAAATACCCTCATAGCAAACACAGGTGACACACACATTTCCATGAGCACAAGTCTAACTTTACACATCCTATAAAGTAGCACCTAACTGGGGCTACATATCCTACTGCAGTCATTGAATAGATATATATTTTTTTTCTGAAACTTTTTTTTGTAACTCAATTTATATTCCTTCCCTAAGCATCATCACAGCACACAAAATGCGATCTCCCATCCAGTACACACTGCATAGTGACTCAATCATGCACATTACAAAAAAATAAATAAATAAATTTCCAATTCTAGTTCCTAGAATTATTTCCACCCCTCTTTCTGACCCTCTGTCCCTTCCCACCCTCCTCTCACACCACCTCCGGTGTCCAAAATTGTCCTCCATTCCCTTCCCACCCACATTGCATTGATCACACAGTTTCCTACATAACCTGACTACTTTCAAAGGTGAGTTCACTCGTTACTACTAAGAAAACCAGTTTTAACTTAAAGAAACGCCAAGGAACTTAAAAGCACAATTTCTTTTGTCAGTCCACAAATACTCAGCAGCATCTACTGAATGCTGGCCACTAGGGACACAAAGTATATGTAATAAGAGACCATCATCTGGACCCAGATGAAACTGACAGTGTTGAGGACTATTATTCAAATCATTTCACTGCCTCTCCATCCTCCAGATTAGTCCACAAGGCCTGAATCTATGTGGGATGTCCACAGGAATAAAGCATTTTCTTTTATTTTTATTGCTGCTTACAGATTGTGAATATTATCACATGTAACCTTAACATAGCAGGATAGGAATTCAGAAGTGACTTTCACCATTAATTTCTAGACACGAGGTTGCCAAACTGTTCACTGGCGTATCCTCTTTCACTAGGGAGAAGTCAGCTACAACAACCTTATGATTTGTTTTATAAGCATTAGATGTACCAGGAGTCCAGCAGATGATGTAGTGGTTAAGGTGTTAGACTACCACATGGGCAACTACAGTTTGAGACCCAGACCAGGTACCTTGAAAATCATGCTGGGGTAACCAGCAGTTAGCGTAATGGCTATGTCACTGGACTCCCACGTAATCGACTGCGGTTGGCATCCCAGACCCAGTGGCTTAAAGCTCATGCCAGGCGCGTGTGCATGTGTGCCAAAGATCCTGAGAGGATAATGGAGGAGAAGGGATTGCGGCATGGCCATCCCCCGTAGGGGGTGATTTCTCGCTTTCTGTCTCTCTGTTTCTGTCTGTCTGGCAAGCGAGCGCACATGCCCTGTAGCAAAAACCTCTCCAGAAAAAAAAAAAAGAGAGAGAGAGAGAGAAAATCATACTGGGCATGTGTGCATGCATTCCCAGAATCCTGAGAGGAGAATGAGGGACTATGGCATGACAATCCCCCTGGGAGTTATTTCTCTTTCCTTCTTTCTCTATCTCTCTATCTTTATGCAGCAAGAACATGCTCCCTAAGGCCAAAAAAATTAGATATTCTCATAAATGTGTACAACTATTACATGTAAATCAGAAATTATAACTAAAAATACACCAAAAAATGTATAAGACATGAATGTCATTGTAAGAAAAGCACATTTCAACCGAACAGGTCAGAAACATAGTTTGTTATTACTACAGGCTCCTAGATGGACAGAATCAAACTAGAATCAGACTCTGATTTCCCAGGTCTGGAAAAATGGTGATGTGCCTCTAGAATTTAGATCAGAAAAAGCCTATGATTGGGAAGACAAACAGAAACTCTTGCCTGTGCATCATAGGAATAATGATGCCCATATAATAACTAGAGGCACCACTATTACTATCACCCCTTGGTTTCTGAGACCATGTGTTCTAGCTACAGGGCAACAACACTGTATTCACTGATGATCTAAAGCTTATGCTGCATCCTATAGGACACTCTCAACCTTGCAGGTAGTTGTGTCTCAGCTGTCATAATTATTTAGTGTTCACTAGGCCATTCCACAGTTCTCTCAGGTCAGGAGCTTCTGGGCGATATAGTGAATGTAACCATCGCTGCACTTCTGTCTTGGTGGAATGTTTGTTGCCCAAAAGCAGAACTGTGTAGGATACCAAGAAAGGACAGAAACCTTGCAACTCCCTAAGTCCAGAAGGAGTGATGCTGGCTGAAATCTGCTGATGGGCAAAGAAGACAAAGTCCTACCCATACATATTCTCCGTTTTAGATGTCAGATTTTTTAATTAGGGATATACTCACTCTGTCCTAAAAGTAGCTCTCCATACTAAAGAGCAATGATTTCTATTGTGAACAGTACAAAATCCAACAGAGAAGACAAAATGAGATACAACAAAAGGTAGGAAAAGACAAAAGAACAAAGAATCAATCACACAAATGAAAATCAAATACCAATACATTCTTCAACTCAATCCTATCAATATTTTCATTTAATGTAAACAAATTAAACGCTTAATTAAGAGACCAAAAATACAAGTGTAGATTTTTTTAAATGCAAAGCCAACATTTTTCTATTCACAAGAGACATATCTTAAATATACAGACATAGAATAAAAGTAATATTATGTGAGAAAAAAGATAAATCCTGAAACAGCAATCAAAAGAAAATAGGTCTGCCAGGTGGCAAGGTGGTTACGGCAGCTAAATCCCACATGGCCAAATGCGTGGTTCTAAGTCTTGGGCCTGACTGCTTGGAAAATATACCAGACACATGCACATGCATGCCCAAAAATCCAAGAGGAGAATGGAGGAGAGGGGACTGTGGCATGGTTATCTCCCCTGGGGCATAATTTCTTTACTTTCCCTCTCTCTCTTTCTCTGTCTCTCCATCTCTCCAATAAGAGCATGTGTCCTACAGCAAAAACTAAAAAAAAGAAAGAAAGAAAAATTAAAGAAAAAAAATATTGCCCATGGGACATGCTATTTCACTTTTTAATTTGTGGCCAACTGTAAGATGAAAGAGTATCTGTGTGTGTGTGTGTGTGTGTGTGTGTGTGCGTGTGTGTGTGTGTGTGTTTAATGAGAGAGATAGAGAGTTAGGTATTTTCAGCAGGGTCTCACCATGCCATGGTCCTCCTGCTCCAGCCTCCCAGCTAGCTAGCTAGGATCACAGTTGTGCACTGCTGCATTACGTGTTCAGGTTAGTCCAGTATATGAACCAGGGTCTCTGTGCAGCTCTAGCACCATGAAGTGGCACCCTGCTGCCTGCACTAGCACTGCTGAGCCTCAGCAGAGTTTTTGAGTTCTTTGTTTTTCAGGTTATTGCCATAGGGCATGAGCACTTGCCAGAGAGAGACAGAGAGATACGGTGAGAGGGAAAGTGAGAAATCATCCCCAGAGGGAATAGCTGCATCACAATCCCTTCTCTTCCACTCTCCTTTTGGGATTTTGAGCATGCATGCACTTGTGACTGGCAAAATTTTCTAGCCGCAATGTCTTGGACTCAAACCACATGTGAAAATCCAGTGCCTTAACCACCATACCACCTGCTGGCCACCCTCAGTAGTTTTTTTATTTTTATTTTTTTCAGTATTTTCTTTCTGTTCCTCTTGAAATAAGTGAAGTTGACTATTAAAAATATTTCTATATATCTTTCTGTGAACTGGCAGGCATTTTGCCCATACTTCTATTAGGTTTTATATCCTTTTCTTCTGGATTTTGAGGGAGTTTTATATATTAGATAG